CTAACATATATGGGCTATTCTGGGCTTACTTCTTTGTCCTCCGCCCCTTTTTATTGACTTGAACCACAAAGCAAGATAGAATAGCACAGCCAATCCACTCTTCCCATTGTATTGTATAGAGGCTCTTCTTAAGTCAATGGGCAATACCTTTTAATGCAGACCTAAAATAACCCTGTTAAAGGTAAAAGAGCACACAGGAAGCTCTTTTCCTCTCAAAACAATAGAGCAGGGCTTTTCAACTGGTGGTACGTGTACCACTTGTGGTACATTAAGGGGTGGCAGGTGGTACGTAGCGCTGCCTAGCCAAGTGTAGTGGGAGAGCGAAAGAGCCAGCACAGGCAAGGAGAGAGAGAGTCCTCTGGAGCTGCAAAGGCCCCAGGCTCACTTCTGGCTCACCCTCCCCCATGAGAAAGGAGGAGGGGGGCGGAGACAGGAGAGCCTATAAAAGGAGGCAGTTTGGGCAGGAGAGGGAGAGAGAAAAAGAGCAGCAGCCTTGGGAGGAGGCAGAGTCAGCTGCACTGAAGGGGGAGGGGGAGGGTGGGGGGAGAGGAGATCAAGCAGGCTGGCCATGAGCCGATCTACAACTGCTGTGGCAGCCACCTGTGCTGGCAGCAAACAGGCAAGAAATGCAGGGGGGAGGGGTCGCCTTCCAAGAGGAATGAAAAAAGGCAGCAATCGCTGGAGGTGAGTCACGGAGGAGGGAAGGAGATGGAGAGTGGAAGGATTCTTATGTGCTTTTGTGACTTTGAAGTTCTGAGATTTGTGCAATGAGGGCTTTGTGTTCTTAAGGAGTGTTTGGCAATTTCTATTTGGCTGATGGCTGATGTTTCTGTTAGCTTCTATTGCTCTGCTGTTGTTAGCTGTAAGTTTTGCTACAAGGGATTTTGAAGTATTTTTCTCCTGAATGGATTTTGCCTGTAGCATTCCTTTACTTATGAATGGAGCCATTTGGGGAGGTTGCCTTAGCCGGCGGCCAGTACTTACATTTTTTTTTCTTTTGCTCCTTACTTTCCTTTCTAGCCAGTAGCTAATTCTTAAAGGGGAATGTGCCTTTTTAAGCTAGTTCACTCAGCAGCTTGGCTTTTCTGTCTCTGGAGGCCTTTCCTTGTTTGATCAATATATGGAAGAGGGAAAATATGGGGGAGGGGGTTCAAATTCTTCCTTCAGAAGGAGATGGGAATGAGAAAAAGGGAGGCAGGAAGGGAGGGAGGAAAGTCCTGCCTTAGCACTTGGCCACCAGCAGCTCTGCCATTGACTTTGCTTGTCAAAAGTTTGCAGAAGGGGATCACATGACCCTGGAACACTGACCATTATAAATATGAATCAATTGCCAAGCATCCAAATATAAATCACATGACCCTGGGCATGCTGCAATGGTCATAAGTGTGAAAAATGGTCATAAGTCATTTCAGTGCAATTGCAACTTTAAACAGGGTTTGTTTTCTTTTTGGTCATCAAGTTTTTGACACCTTGCTAGGTGGTACTCAAATATTGCCATATCCTAAAAATGGTACAATTGGTAAAAAGGTTGAAAAGCCCTGCAATTGAGGACCTGGAAACAATTAGCTACTATCCCTCTTAGGCTTTGCATCCCCAAAGCTGAGGAGAAGAGAACCTTGTACTCTGAAAACCAGAGAATTCTGGGAGATGATTTTTAAGAAGTAAAAAACCAAACAAAAACCAAGAAGTCCCACTGATATTATTGTTGACAATATGCTGCGAACTTAACTGCTGTTGTTATAGTCAACATTGTCATATCATTTTTTGTAGCCCTGAATTGGTCTGGAAGTGGGTGAGAGAGAGGAAAGCTGCTGCTATGTCAAGCTCTAATGGCAGAAGTTTGGGGAAAATATTCTTTATTCTCAGATTTCAATTACTGACTCTGTATGAATGGAAAAGCGATTGTTTCACTAGTAATAATAACAATTAATATGATCCAAAGAGATATGAGTTAATAATGTCCAAAGTAGGATTAAAGTACAAAAGTAACAATAGCTAGAGAAAAGGGGGGTTGGAGAAAGGGAAAGTTGCTTTTTGTAAGAGCAAGAATATCTCCAATTCTGCTCTCTCACCTCTGCGCCACTTTTTCAGTTTAAATTGTGCATATTTCTCCAACGATCTCCCTGCTTTCTTCAGTGGCACAAATTTTTCTAAGGTATTTTTCTTCTTACTTCAGCCTCTGATTCCACCAAACGCATCAACGGGATTTTGTAATTACATTTTTCCCAATATTGAAAAATATTGAAATATTGCAAAAAGGAAATCTCTGAGTAGCATCCATTCAGCCCATCAGTTTGCTTTGCTTTTCCTTTGTGGAGTCATACTTCATAATGGTGCTGACAGGTGATGAGCTCACAAAGGAGAAGTAAATAAAACTTCTGGTGGGCTGAATGAAAGCTCTTGTGGGTTTTGAGTAGTGGTGGCTTAGTCAGGTTTTGCTTTCATTTCACAGCGTTTTAATAGCTTAGCTTTTGTTTCTTTTTCGGTATTTATTTTCTTGCTTATTTATCTTTGTTTATTTATCACATTTGCTTATTTATATTTATTATTTACCTATTTATCTATTTATTTATCTATTTGCATATTTATCTGTTTATTTATCTATTTGCATATTTATCTATTTATTTATTTATCTATATCTATCTATTTACCTATTTATATATCTATTTATCTATTTATTTATCTATTATATTTATTTAGTTTAGGATTAGTTTAGTTTAGGGCATCAAGGCATTATTTATCTTATTTAATATCACATTTGTTTATTTATATTTATTTATCTGTTTATTTATTTATTTATTTATCCATTTATTTACCTATTTATCAATTTATCTATTTACCTATTTATCAATTTATTTATTTATTTATCTATTTATTATATTTAATATATTTATTTATTTAGTTTAGGATTAGTTTAGTTTAGGGCATTAAGGATGGAGACATTCTTATACTATGCAGGGAAACTCCTGTTTGAGGTAAGGTCCTCTTTTTTGTTTATTTATTTATTTACTTGTCATCTGCGTAACTCTAGGATGAGTTCAAGATTCAAAGAGGTAGCATGACATGTAGCATAAATAATAATCATCATAATAAAATCCCTCCTTCTAATTAATTTTTAACATCACTTGCCTCTTTTAAATTTTATATAAGATGCTCATGTTTTTAATATTGCATTTGTATAGTACCTAGACTGAGGGAGATGGGTAATTCTTAAATATGATAAATAAACAAATAAATAGTGTGTGTTCTAGTCTCCTGCATGCTAAACTGCATTGGCCATTAGTCCTGGTTAACCCTAACCCTAACCCTGTCCCTTGTCCCTTTTTAGCACTGGGAAAGGTTCAGAGTGACATTGATCCCTATTTCAATTCACCAGGTGTAACGAGGGAGGGGAGAGAGCCCTCCACCCCTCCCTACTGTGCTTGGCTGTGACAGATGGAGACAACTGCTGCAATGCATGGATGTGGTCCCCTTCCCCAAATATCTGTTCCCGTGACAATCAACCCACTTGCTTATATCACTGACTGCTCCCTCACTATACACAACAGTGGAACCTGAACAGTACATGTAGCAATGTCTTCTCTGATTATCAGCCCAGAACTGTGTCGGAGGAAAGATGGAGAAAAGCTGGCACGGGCTGACTGATTTAATAGTATTTTTATACTGATGACTCCATAGCAACTCTTCACAATTTACAAACAGCTGCCTAAAATCCATACAACTAGTAATCACGAGGCCCAGAGTCACCCTACACTAAACTAGAGATGGGAAGATCCTAGCTTCTGACCATGTTGTCATCAGCACTGTCAATTGTTTGTACAGCCAGGTTTATATTGGAAGAAGAGGGCCATTAAAACATCACTTTAACTGCAGAGCAACTAAAGGGCAGCTTTAGCTGTCCCTGTAGCTGGCTAGAGGTGAAATTCAGGTGATGCCATGAGGGTTGTTACTTAACAATGGTTAGTGAGGGTCTTCATGCTATGGTTAGAGGGGCATGAAGATGAACTAGCTAATTTGATTCACTCCAACTCTCTAAATAAAATTAGCATACGGGATCCAGTGGAACTTTTGTTCCTATGAATCCTTTTTCATAAGTGGGAAGTTCTACCATATGTGCATTTTTTTAAAAAAAACCCAGTTGGCCTTCTGAGTCTAGGATCCCTTCTTTCCAGACTGAGTTGACTTTCTTTGACTCCAATAGCAAAAGACCATCTGAAGAAAAAGCCTTGGAAGTATAATTTCTCATAAATTCATTTTTTCTTTTCTATTTTTTTCAAAAAAGAAAACAATCTGAAGCACGACATTGGCCAAGCATTGATATGTGCTACTGTGATTGTATCCACACTATGATTTATAATACTTATTAAATTCGCCTCCTCCAGTTGGTTTGTCTTCAGGTGCTCAAAATGTCTTCTTTTGGCAGGTCTGTCTGCAGAAATACAGAGACCACCAAAGAGAACAAAGTGAGTAACCAACTCTTTTGTTTGTGTGAGAACCTGTGGCAGAAGTGGGGATACAAAGGCAACCCTCCCTCTGCACCACACCTGACCCTTCCTATTTAATGACCAGTCTTAAATGTTAGTGTTGTTGGTGGGTTAATACGTAATGTCTTTTGGGAATATTGTTTAACAACACAAGTGTTTTTCCATAAAAATACAGAACAGAAGCAAATAGAAGAGGTGACATCCTCACAGGAGAAGGAGCTGGCAGAAAAAGATGCCACCATAAGAGCTGTAAGTCATTCATTTCCCTTACAATCCTGATTTAAGCCCCCTCTTTTTGTCTGCGTATCTATATTCGATGACTGATGCATGCTTCCTTTAATTTCCGCATCTTAGTTGGAAGAAGTGAACAAGAGCTTAGCCAGCGAACTGGCCCAGCTTCTGAAGCAGAATGAGGAACTGAAGCACTTAATAAATCTCGATCCAGAAAGTGAGTATTATTTTAACTTAACAACATTTTAATTGTTTTCATTTTAAAAATAAAAGCGATTTATTCATCTTGGCTGTATGAGTTCTAATTTTTTGTTATTTTTTTGCCAGGAGAGGCTGACAGAAAGGAGTTGGAGGTTGCAATATTGAAGAAAAAATTGGAAAAGGAGCAGAAGGCAATCAGCTGACTCACTGCTGTAAGCATATTACATGATAGTAAGAAATTAGAACAACCTCTGTAAGCCAGATTTTATAATGTACTAACTGTACTTGCTCAATTTCTTTTAACAGGAGGTCTCAAGAGAGAGGGAGAGGAGAAGAGACCTCATGAGAGCGCGGGACCGGGCAATCGATGCCATCTGCTCCCAGCTACTGTCTATCCCTTATTCGGAGAGAAGATTGTCGGTGAGCTTTGTCCTTCTGCTTCTGGGAGAGAAATAGACATATTTCAATTGATGACTCTCTACCCCATTCTAAAATATTTCTTTAACAATTTTCAGCCTCTGCAAGAAGCAAATAGAAAGAAATATCTGAATGCGTCAAGAAGGTAAATGATACCATTTTTAAGACATTACATGTTTTTTTTCATAGAAAAGTTATCATACAACATTTGGTAGTAAAAATCAAATCAAATTTGCAACACAATTTTTATTCTTTTACAGTAGCTTGGGGTCAAACAGGTGACTCTATCGCGGTCAAGAACATGTGGGTTCCCAACCGCAGATTGTAGTAGAGATGGAGTAAGTGATCTGATATGTTTCTGTTTCATTCTGAATATGGTCAATATTTTCGGGCAAATACGGTAGGAGTCATGCAAAAAAAAAAAGAAGAATTTTTTTGTTTGAATGTTTCCATGAATTGTCCTGAAATTTTCACATTCAGGTTAGGCTATAACATTCAGCCATGAAATAGGAGATTTTATACAGAATGCCCTCTCTTATGCCATTAGAAATAGAGCTTAGATGGCTTTTCTTGATGTGCTGGGTTGCATTGTTCCAAAGGCAAATGTAATTTAAAAATTTGCTAATATTCTACCTGCTAATTTTTGCTGAGAAGTTATTCATTAGATAAATTATTGTCTCTTTCAACTGGCTAGTTTGGATTAGACAAAAATGCTGTTTGATGTGTAATTTAATGTGTTAGTTATTTTTTTATTGAAATTCTAATCTCTGTTTCAAAATAAGATCTGTTTTTTTCTTCAAATACAATCTTCAAATACAAGGTTGCACTAACATGATTTCCATTCTAACCTACTTGTTTTTAATCTGTTTTAGTGAATTCAAAGACACCTGTCCCTCTTTTTGGGACTCCCTCTTCTCCCTTTTTAACCAGGAACAACCAGGACCAGCTGTGGCTCAGAGATGCAGTCAAGTGACATACATCACTTTTTACACCTCTTCCTTAACAAAGACACTGGCAATTGGTCCCAATTTGATCCCAGCTGAGGTCTTAACATGATGACTATCTGTATTATGTAAATTCTCCTTCACCACCAAATACACTCCTGAAGAAATTGCCTTTGGCATCCCCTTCTTATCTGGGGGTCAAAGTCAGGAAAATGCTTCCAGAAATTTGAATGTCATGCAGGATGATTGTGCCCTGCAAGTTTCTGCCCTGAGTACCTGGGATGTTAAGAAAGAAAACCTCAAGAGGGCCCAGGGGAAAGACATCAAGCGTGCTTTGGCCAACGGCCTTGCCAGCCAAGTTAATACCTTCCATCTACCCAAATGTCCATCCATCCTCCTCCTCGTCACCAGACGAACAATGTCTTTGTCATAAAAAATATGGTGAGATGTAATTAAAAGAAAAGCATACCAGCTTGTTCATTGCCCAGGTTACAGGAACCGTGTTAGGTTTTGGAGTTCCTGGAGATTTGGTGGAAAACAGACTGCAGGACTCATGGCTGTTGGCTGAGTAACCAGGGCTAGCAGCCTTGCCCAAAATAACTCAAATTGCAAGGGTAAACCAGGGGAAGTTGGCAGTAAAAGGCAGCACAGCTATTGAACTGTTTATGTTTGGAAACCAGGAGCTTATTTTTTGCCTCAGAAACAATAAAGCTCGGTAACGAAAGAAGTAGGAGAGTTCGAAACAAAGAATCATTGAGCATCTAGAACAGCATAAAAACACAGCATAAGGTGGCCTGCATTGAAGCTTGTTCCAAAGAAACAGCTAGCACAAGCATTAAACATACTGCCAATACTGTAATAGCAAATATAAGCACCAGCTCACTGCAAGAAACAAAGCAACAAATGTGCAGCGCAATTGCAGTTATGATTGAATATCTGGGCTATAAAATAACAAACAGGAAAAACAACCAAATGGAAGACTGGGCTGGAAAATCAGCAAGCTAGGATCAGATGCAAGCAGAGTAGAACAGATGAAAGAAAAGAAGAACAAGACCAAATGATACTAGGTCAAAAAATATCACCTAGAAATAAGGAAGATTAAGGAAGCTTTGGAAATAATAAAGCAGCAAACCACAGCCGTAGCCAAGAAGATCAGCAGACATGAAGTTCAAATTCCACACTGCAGACAGGCTCTGCAATTTAAATTTAAATATTTCTGGGAACACTTGACAAGGAAGACACAGAAAAGGTCAGCTCTCTCTACTCCAGCGGTTCAGGTCCTAGCACTGCATGACGGAATGAGCTCCCGTCACTCACCTCAGCTTCTGCCAACCTAGCAGTTTAAAAGAATGAAAAATGCAAGTAGATAAATAGGTGACACTGTGGTGGGAAGCCATCAGCGCTTTGTGCGATAGCAAGAAACCAGCCGGCGCTAGTCCTGCACAAATGCAAGCAAATAAATAAATAAATAAATAAATAATAAACCTGCTTAGCAACAACTTTCAAATTGCTAACTGGTGTCGTAGCTGAGCTTGGCTTATAAAAAAAACAATATCTTTCCACCTGAGCAGAAAGAAATTTGCCCTACGGGAAAGGAGCAAAACTCCGACTCCTGATTGACAAGATAATTTGTGGAAACTGCAAGAAAAGCAAGACCAACTTGAACGTAGTGTGGATTGAGTACAAGAAGGCATTTGACTCAATGTAACCTGATTGGATAATCAAGTACCCAGAGATACGATGGGTAAATAGAAACAGCAAAAGCTTTGTCAAAGATCAATGACACAGTGGGAAGACCCAGCTGCAGGTCAGTGGTGATAGATTGGGAGAGGTTAAAATGAAGAGAGGACTCTTTCAAGGCGACTCACTATCACCACTACTCTTTGTCATTGCACTAATTTCTATGTCAACAATACTGAATAACTCAGGCTATGGCTATCAAACATCTAAAACATCTGCCGGACTATTCCACCTCCTTTACATGGACGATTTGAAGCAGTATGGAAAAACACCATCTGAAATAGAATTGCTGCTCAACACTGTCTGTTGAGCCAAGATTTGCATTGGAGTTTGGGCTGAACAAATGTGCCACTGTCACCAGCAAATGAGGAAAAACAGTGAAACTGAAGGACTCAAGATGTCCTGTGGAAACAACATCAAGAATGTAGATGAAGACAATCACTACAAGTGCCTGGACATTCTTCAGACTGACAACATCAAGCACATTGGAGAAAAAGGTTAGAAATGAACATATCAAGAGAGTAAAGATCTTAAAGTCCAAAATCATTGGACAAAGTACCATCAAGGCAATTAACAGCAGGCATTAAATGCACAGGGGGAATAGCGGACTGGACTCAAGCAGAACTAAAGGCCACGGATAGGAAGACCAGAAAAATAATGACAATGAATCATGCCCTTTATCCTCACAGTGATGCTGACAGACTCTACATACCAAGGAAAATGGATAGGCATGGAATGTCATAAGTATATCAGATGGTTGAAGAAAAAAAAAGGGCATTGTAAGAATATTTGAAGGGGACTGAAGATGATGCCAGGAACACCTATACCAGGAAGACCTACTGGGTACTGGAAAGACCAAACCGGCCTACAAAAAAGACCAAATAAAGAACAGAAATGAAGACAAAGTATTACATAGTCAGCGCATTAAAAAAAATAGGCAAAGCTGATAATAAAAAGAGTTGGCAATGGCTAAGAGCAGGAAAGTTGAAGAAAGAGACAGAGGGGCTAATTCTAGCTGCACAAGATCAAGCCTGAAGAAGAAATGCATACAAGGTCAGAATTGAGGAGATGGGAACAGATAACAAGTGCTGCCTTTGTAAAGAAGCTGAAGAAACGGTGGACCACCTGATTAGCTGCTGCAAGTAGACCACCTGATTAGCTGCTGCAAACTGACTACAAACAATGGCATGATGTAGTAGCCACCATGGTGCATAGCAAGATCTGCAAAGAAAAACCATTTGTCTGCAAGCGAGAACCGGTGGGACCATGAAATAAAGGCATAGAAAATGAAGCAGCTAAAATGTTCTGGGACTTTAGAACTCAAACAGACAGGTACCTGCCATATAAAAAGTCAATTGTCAGTAAGAAATAAAAAACAATCTGGATAGTGGATGTGGCAATACCTGGAGAAAGTAGAAGAGAAGAGAAAGACTGGAGAAGATAACACAATATGAAAACCAGCAAATAGAAATAGAACAATTGTGACAAAAAAAAGCAAAGTATACCAATAGCAATAGACAGCTTGGATGAAATCCCAAACCAACTGGAACACCACTTGGAAAAGCATTGGCAATGACAAAATTACCATTGGTTAATTGCAAAAGGCGACTTTACTCACAACAGCCTATGCTAAAACCATCAAACATTAACATCTGCCCATCCCAGGTCCTTGGGAAGGACTCAACAGGTGAACAAAAATGCAGGGGCACGTGACCCGCTTAACAAATGTCACAACGCTGCAACTTTGGAATTGGCTACAGTCATAAATCAAGGACTACCTGTATTATAATGAATGTCAACCTAATGCAGAACACAGTTTTTATAGCTTTATTTTCTGTACTTGTTTTCTTGTACAAAACATTTCATCTCCATATATTGATCATGAAGTAAAATACATTTTAAAATAAAATATATTATATTACATTTAATGAAGAAATATATTTAAACAGCTATCTTTGAAAGAGCAGGAAAGGTAACCTAATGCTGAATTTATTTTTATTCATTGCCCTGCAAAGGAGGGCACTTACAGGCATGAAATGATTTATAGCAGGTACTACAGACGCATGAACCCTACATAAGAAGACAAACCAACGCCACCTTTATAAAATCTAATTTAACCCTGATTTATTTAAATTCTCTCTCCCTCCCTCCCTCCCTCCCTCCCTCCCTCTCTCTCCCAGGATCTAATTTAAGAGGGATATGGCTAATATGTTCATTTATTCTTCACTTTTGTGTCATTGGGAATGCCTGACCTTAACTGGTGTTAAGCACTTTCTCTTATGAGGAACAACATTAATGCCAGAAGACCCAACAAAGAAGCTATCTCAGGCATTTCAGGGTCAGCCAAAAATACATTGCAATGAGTACGATTTCCATATTTTTTGAGAAAGGACACTTCCGTGCAATAAAAGATAAGAATTGAAACAGAATGAAAACTGAATGAGGAGGAGGGACTTTCTCTCAGGCTCACACCAGGCCCTCCCAAAATGGCACGCTGCTCTTTGATCCCCACATGAATTGGCAGAGCCAGGTCTTCATGCTCATTGGAAGGCTGGGAGAGTGTGGGCCAACCTCACCTCTGGAGGCAAGATGATCCAGGGAGTGGGGGGCCATGGCAGAAAACGCTCTTCTTAGATCCCACCAGTCAAAAATCTCTAATGAAACTATTGATTTAATAAAAAATGATGGACAATGAAGAATATTGGAAGTTTCACTAATAAACTGGATTAGGTTGAACTTTGCAAGACCATAAGAAAAGAAAAAGAAACACTTCAGTTTAACATGATAAACATTAAATAATGCATAGCCAAAGGAGCAGGCAGGATTCAGAAGTGGTTACAGCACAATGGATCACATTTAGGTTGTTCAGAACGTCATTGAAAGGCACAATGAGTACATCTGCCTCTGTGCATGGCTTTCATTGACTATGAAAAGGTATTTGACTTGGTATTTCAGCAGGTAATAATTAATGCATTGATCAACCAAGTCGTAGACACTGCTTATATAAACTTACTGTAATCAATGTATGAAAAAACAATGCTGACAATTTGCCTTAATGATCTTAAAGTGGAATCAACATAGAATGAGGTGAATGACAAGATGACACAATAAACCTTATCTTTTCTCAGCCTGTCTTGAAGAAGCATTTTGAAAACTAGACTGGGCAAAAGATGGAATAAAAATCAATGGTGACTATTTAAATCACTTAAGATTTGCATATGTTGTTGTTCTCTTCTCACAATAGCCAGAAGAATTACAAAGACATGTACAAGTGCTGCACAAAGCAGGGGAAATCATTTGTCTTAAAAATAAATGTGAAAAAGAGCCAAGTCATGTTCAATAAATTCACCAAAGAAAAAAATTTATACTGGGAGAAGAACTAGACAAAGTAGATCATTATATACTGCTCAAAAAATAAAGGGAACACAAACTTATAGGATGTCTTCTTTTTGTGTTCCCTTTATTTTTTTGAGCAGTATATATATATATATATATATATCTCAGCAAACGAATCTCAATGGAAGGTGATATAAAGGAAATTGAACGGCATGTTAAATGTGGTTGGCGGGCATTCGGCAAATTAAGCGTAATTTTAAAAAACCTCTCTATGCCTGAAAAGTCTTTGATCAGTGTGTGCTACTTGTTTTAACATATGTCCAGCAAAACATGGACACTAACCTCACAATTGATACAAAAGCTACAAGTGGCATATAAAGTTGCTGAGCTACAAATTGTTGATCTGTTTTCTAGTTCATGTCATGCACCAAGGCCAACATTATTCCAGATGCTATTTTATTTCTCATTTCCACATCCCAGTCTCCTATAATTAGCGTGACATCTTTTTTGGTGTTAAGTCAACAAGTGTTGCAAATCATCATAGAACTGGCCCATTTCCTCTTTGTCTATAATTGGAGCATAGACTTGGATCACACATTAGTGTGTTTTTGTCTTAAATTGAGATCACAGTGTCGGTGTGTGGAGAGATGCCCGAATATAGACCTTGATACCTTTTGGTACTCTATTTTTTATTGCAATTTATGTGTCCACAAGATTGAGACTTGGTACTATTTGGATTTGAAGGGATTCATCCAAGTTTTTTAAAAGTTTCCTAATTTCCAGAATATCAGTGTCTAATTTTGCCATTTCTTTTCCTTGAAATCAGTGAGGTTTGATTTGGCTCTCATTAACTTAAATCCTATTGATTTTAATGGATCAGTATACCTATCTTTGGATGCAAGCCTGTTAGGTCACTAGAATTAAAAATGCATAACTTTTCTCTGCAATTGGCTTGCAAAGAGCTGAATTCCAAATCTTCAGGTATTGCTGATATTCTCATAAACTGATTATTCTCTTTATTTTACTTTTTAGAACACACACACACACACACACACACACACACATTAAATAATAATAAAAGCACATTATAGAACTGGAAGATATGCTAAGCATCATAAAAGTAACAATCTATATGTTCTTTCATAAAAGTAAAATATGAATTGTTTTGAAGCTAGATTTAACAGTCTTGGCTATGCATCACAGGAATGAAGCATAAACTTTTATGACTGATATTTTCCTGTACCACATCACCTTTTTCTTCAATCCCTTGACATTAAACCTGATTTTAAAGTTAAGCGATAAATGTATATACTTCGTCCACATCAGGAGATCTGTGAAAACAGTTATCTTAAACCAGAAAGTCCAGCAGATATGTATTGAATTGATATATATTCTCTCCTTCTCTTTCTCCTTCTTCTCCCTCTCCCTCTCTATATACGTCTGTCTTCTGTTTTAACATGAAAACCAAGATAAACTTGCTTCCAAAACCACAGGCCAGTTTATGCCCACAGAAGAGTTAAATATTGGCCTCTGGAACACCTAAAACTAAATGAGCCTTAACTCTGCAGGCCATTTGGAAAATGCTGAAGACCTGTTTACCTTGGTATAAGATTCAGGAAGTTAGTGAAGTCCAGATGGTTTGATGCTGTTTTTTTTTTAAAAAAAAAAATCAAAAGTCAAAATCCTTATAGTTCAGCTCTAGAAAGACAAACATATTATGGCTCCAAACCATTCATAGAATTATTATAGAGCAGCTATGGATGTCTGCTATGAATTATGGCATCAATTTATTGAAATATGTATGTCTGTAAATGTGTATCTCGTATGTTTTTGTTTCTTCTCTTTTATTTTTTTCTCCCTTTTATAGTTTTGTTATTATTTTTTTTTCATTGTTACGTTTTTAAAAAGCTCTTTAGTCTATCATTGGTCGTCTAGACTTTCCTAACTTGGTATTGGTTGGGCAGCATTTTTATTGTGAGATCTTGCCACAATGAATGTGTATTAGATACTGTCCCACAAACCAGCTAATAAACACAAGTCTAGGTTGTTGCATTAACCTACCTTGTGTGATTAAGGTTCAGTGTGCTGTATGAATTAAATAATGGCATCATTGTGACTGTTTCTTATGAATAGCTAGTAATAACTAGTAATATGGACACCAAAGTGTTTTCAAGATATACATCAGAGATGGGGAATGATGGCCCTTTTACAACTTGTGGACTTCAACTCCCAGAATTCTTGAGCTAATCATACTGGCTCACCAATTCTGGGAGTTGAAGTCCACAAGTCGTAAAAGAGCCATCATTCCCCATCTCTGCTTTAAGGCAAAAGAAAAAAAAATGCTGCTGAAATTTGACAATACATATTCTTCAGTAAGATGTAGTTTGCCCATTTGTTTTATAAAGGATATCTGGGAAATTTGCACGACCAAGCAAACCCAATAGATGAAGTAACATTGGCTTGTTTAGGATCCTATCCAACACAATCCATGTCACTTTTTTGTGGCTTGTTCAAGAGCCGAGTTGTAACAAAATTAATTTCCTTTGTCCAGATTGAGCTACTAAAGATGTTTCAATGATTGCTGATTGAGATCTCAAAGCAAGTGGTGTTGTGCAAACATCTGTTAAAATGGATAAAACAGAGTTAATCTTTGTAAGAAATCAATTGCTGGATAAAGTAAGCTGACTAAAAGCTACCTAAGGCCAGTTGAATATGTTTTATTTCTTACTAGTGCTCTTGGTTCACTTTTGGTGTTCTCTCATTTGTGTGGGCCTTCTCTGAGACTAAAGTGTTTTACTAAAAGTCACAAGTGGTTTCAAAGTGATTGCACAAATAAATATAATATCTTGACATGAAAAGAGAAATAACTGATAGTTAAACATACCTTAAGTATTTGATGAAATATCAGTTGTTTGGATTAATCTCCACAAAGCACGAACATTTGACTTCCGCAGCTAGAAGCTAACTTGACTTAGAACATAATGCCACTTACTTAAAAAAAAGCCAATTAATGCTCAATCTAGATCTAGAAATAGATTTATTTTAACAAGAATTGAACAGTAAACATATATACAATATAATTACAGACAACCCTGTTTTTAGTATGCACAGAAATAGCCAGTTTTGCTCCAGTGTGAAGGAAAAAAGAAAAAAGGTAAACTTGGAGATGTTAAATGCTTAGCAAGGCTTACAGGCTATAGCAACTCCTTTGGAGGTAGAAAGACACCAAAATCATAAAACTCAGCCTGCCCCGGGCAGTGAGGAATTTTTGTGCCAATTTTTCAAATTTACACTTTCGTTATGGTTGACAAATAGAAAAAAAAAGCTTTGCATGACTTAGTTCCTTTACAGAATTAGTTACAACTGCATAATAAGTTGGAATGCTATCCTTTATGGGAGAGATGTCATTTTGCTGCCTGTATGAGCAATCATTTTGAGATATG